ATTTAAATAAATGATTCTCATTTACTGTTAGTTAGTAACATGTATAAACAGAGGGGTTCTATACTTTCTTATTTCTTATGATCTTGATCATCTTTAATTCGTTTCTTTTCTTTTTTTTTGTTTGTTTTTTCTTCATTTATTATGTAAGAAATGCGATAATGTTACAAAACAAAACAACAAAAATGTCAAACATAGACAAAAATATTTGAGCAATAAGAGGTTGTTATTTTTTCTTCTATAAAAAAAATGATTATTCAATACAGGTAAACACAAATCCTCTTCAAGTATGAAAACATCAATCAAGAGATATGAACTCAATATAAAAGCATTATGGATAATGATCATAATAATAAAGGTGTAAGAAAGCATTCAATTATATGCATATGCATATGTATATGGATACAGGAGAAACGCAAAAACAATGTTAGAATAGCTTTATTGTTAATATATTAAATGCAAACAAATTATTGTTTGTTTGTTTGTTTTTTATCCATTAATATCTCTGATTTGGATAAGATGAGCAAATGTGAACATGGAATGAATGAATGAATGAATGAAAGAAACAGAGAAAGAAGAACGCATTATCTCTATATGGAATAGAAAATGACTTCAATGAAATAAGATATATCATAGGTACCTTAGTTATGTAATCTATCTAACCATTATGTTTGGTTACTAACTTATAATCATTCACTTATATTATTTTTTTTCATTTTATAGATATAGAAAACAATTGAATAAAATCAAACAGATGAAATTAGATATTATTACATACATTCTAAAAAAAAAAAGAAATTTATCAAAATAAGCGAGAGAAGGAGAGACAGAGAGGGGGGAAGAGCTAAAAAATATTAATTTTTTATTTATTTATTAAAAGCATTGACAATTAAGAAAGACTGTTAATCTGAAAAACAAAAAAATACCCATCTCCACCTTCATCCTCACCCTCACCTCTTCAACAAATCGAGTTAATTTTTAAATGTACTAATTCTTTCCAGTTGTTGTTTCTTTTGCCATAGTTACAATAGTTTCCTATATATATTGGGTTGTATACAATATTTATATGAACAGGCAAATGCATTCAACGGTAATAACTGCTTTTCTCGGTAAACAAAAACAATGATGAAAATTACGTTAAATACTACTTACGGTGTTTTAAATAAATAAGAATAGCAAAAAGAAAATAAAAGGTAGACGAGAGTGGTCAATAAAAGAGAAGATAAAAATGAAGTAATAGAAAGAGAGTAAATAGATAAACACATATGCATGCATAGGTGTATGCACGAACACACACACACACTCACACACTCATATGCACACACACAAACAGTAGTACAAAATATAAAATGAATATAGTGGAATTTTCTAGTTAACAAGGATAGTTTTGGCATGTTTTCTTTTCTGCTTCAAATGCCTTCATTTTATGTTTTGTGCCGTATGTTTAATTATTTTTTGACAGCCTATCTCTTCCTCTCACTGTCTCTCTCAATCGCGTGCTCACGCGCGCTATTTGTCATAAATGTCTTGATAATTCTCGGTTGAGAAGACTGAGAATTCGATAAATGCGTCGACTTTTTGTCTGAAAAACAAGTATACAATTGTATATAACTGAAATAATTGTTAAGAAAATAATGAAACAATAGTGATTTGTAAAGGATTTTCCCGACATAACTATGTTGAATTGATAAGAAAATGGGTAATGAACTATACATCATACAACAACAATGAAACAATATGCAGATGATTTTGATAGAGTTTTGTTCTCTGAACTAGATGGTTTGATCGTGGAGCTTTCATCGTTCTTCTGAACGACATCATTAGCAGAAATTTCAGGTGGAAGTGGTGTTCAATTTTCTCCATATATGGCTCATAGTTTGTCCTGTAAACCTCGATGTTGATTGGTTCTTGTTGACTTTAAACCTGTCATGACAAGTTGTGAGCCATGTATGGAGAAATTTGAACATTTTACTTCTACCTGAAGTTTGTGCTGATGATGATACTGTCCAGAAGAACGATGAAAGCTCTACGACTAAACCATCCGGTTCAGAGAACAAAACTCCATCGAAATCATCTGCTTGAGCTATAAATCTTCTCCATCATCTCGAATTGTGTAGAGGAAATTATACAAAATGCTTATTCCTATTCATTCATGTCATCAGCTAAAACATAGTTTTTATGAGTAATCCTTTATTTTCTTACCATGTTAGATAAACTGTTACTTAGTTCATGCCATAATTGCCTTACTGTTATTGTTGAGACTATAAAGGTTAATAACTTCACTGTCATTCCTCTCAGATGATCATTTCATAACACATCAGGATTTCGTATACGAAAAGAGATTGTGGGGACTATAAGAGATCATTTATGGAATTATTTATGATTTAATAAAAAATTCAGGTGTTTGTAATTCTTCACCGGAATGTGAATGATTCCCTGTAAGATAGTAAGAAGAGACTATAAAGCTTCAATAATCTATAACCTACCCAAATAATCTATATTCATTAGGCTTTTGAAGGACAGACTATAGCAACAAATATAACTACTACCATTATGTCACCTTGACTTCCTATAATGCTAATTTCTTTTCTTTTACTATGTTGATGTAATGTATGGCATGTTCTTTATTATTTATGACTGACCAATGGACTATAAAAGTGAGCATCATGTATATACTAAAGATTAGAATAGGTTACCCAGAAAATGATATATTTTACAAGTAGACTAATTCAATTTTGTTGGATGAGTTTTGCTGAGATAATGATAATCTTTAATAATATTTATCAAGCACTGACCTCAGTCAATGAAGAGCCTCTTTCATTTAAGTATGAAACTTCTTCATAATTTATACCTATCAACATGTAAGAGATTAAACTTCGAAACTTTGATGAACCCATAAACATTCACACCATTTGGTCAGTAACCATTTGTACAATTTCAGTCACAGTCAGTTTGTGAAATAACTGGAAAATCATTCATTATCATCAATGATAACTCATTGACTCCTGACATATTTGATTTTAATTATAGAACAAAGGTCTAGTCGTAACGAGTACGACTTGGCATAATAATTCTGTTCCAATTATTAATGACATGGAAACAATTATAGTAAACATATGATATTAAATATAGTTACATTGGAAACTTACTTTAATCACATACTCCTGTTCATCACATGACCCATTATCGATTTCTATTGTAAATAACCAATAATTCATATTAGTCATAGCAATAAATAAACATGTTGTATATGATTATCTAAATGTACATACTTTACAATTCATTTGTACATGAAATAATAAGTGTATATTATGAATTAGCTTAAGTCTATAATGTTCGGTTAGCAGTTAAAGCTTAGATTCCTCAATAGTTACTCTCATAGATGTTGTCTTAAACGTGTAGTGATTATGAATATTAACATGACAAACTGGTTGAAAATGGATTCAAAACACGTATTAATGGATGTAGTGTAGCAGAAATTTTTTTAAAGAAAATATATAGGTTAGATAGAATTTATAATTGATTGATCACTAGGTAATGATCAATTTCATGGATGTAATGTTCATTTTAGTGCAAATAGAATTCTATCGATTAGGTTATGACGTAATCACTAGCCTGACCGTTGCTGTTACTTTAATGTGATAATCGGTCTTGCCTATTGTGATGAACCAATCGAGCTATAGTGGTTGGAACAGTCGTTCCTCAAAGTCCTAACATGTCAAACAGGTTGGTTGAAGAGCGGTAAGACTAAATGCAGTAAACCCAAAGTCCGAAGGCGAAGTCGTACTGCTGACTGTACAGAAGTGTGATGAGAGTAAGGTGTTTCCTTCAGACAACTAGCATAATAGTGATGCTGTCTTCCCACAAAGTAGGGTGGGGTTAGAAAAGGACCCTAAGTATGCACACCTCACCTTATCCCACGGATTTCCGTCTCTGGTGGTAAGGTCTCAACAAGTACGGAGCTAACAAGAGACTTACTCACAAGACGGTCATGTGTGACTGACCTCACTAAGTTGTTCCTTGGGAACATCGGTCACGCTCACAAGTCACTAAGAACACCCCCTAACCTCATTTCCTTTTCAGGTACCTGGGAAGTGATAACCGCCCTCATACCTCTGACAGCACTCATGATCACTGTATTCATAATCGATCTCCTCCAAGTTTGAGTGACTCGACAACGCATGTACTATTTTGATGTGTAAAGTGGTAGTTGGAGATAGTCGACAGAAAACCATGAACACAGGTTTCACGCTATTTGGCAATTGTCAAAAATATTAATAAGGGAACTGATGCTTCCTGATGGATTTGATCATATGTTACCCAGCTTGACGGTCGGAGACGTTATTGCTGAGCTATCCAGGCCAAGAACCAAATCCATCAGAGAGTGTTAGTTATCTCAACATTACAGATACACCTTGCAGATGAGTGCTTAGTGACACAGAATGCTATTAACTGAATGCCACATTCAGTATGATTTACAGAATATTAACTGATACCATCGATCAATTCCTCGAAGTCTTTCATGGTGACTACCAACAAACATTTAAATTTCAGTATTTTATAATTGACTGAATGGTGTGAATCATAGATATGTAACAAATTAAACCATGACACTGGTTAGTATGAGTTCGAAACCCAAATGAAACATTATTTGTCTTAAAATACCAGACACACCTTATTGATGAGTACCAAGAAGTGTGGAACCTAGGTCCGCACCTTTTGTTCGGTCGCACCAACCATGACAATCGTCTGTCATAATAGGCCATAGACTCTACAGTATTGAAGTACTAAATGTTGCTTTCAAACTTTAATCCTGTATTAGTTTCAAATATTTTTTATGAATTCTTAGATACTTTACTCTTAAGTTTAGCGCTGCTTACCTTTAACTTGTCGTTTCATTGCATGTTTTGAACTTATTATCTTAGAGCTCATTTGTTCAGTCGAGTGTTTGAACAGGTTTCGTGGATTTCGTTCAATGGTACGTGAATTGGTCGAATTATTAATCAACGTTTTTGTTTCAATTTCTCCAACCGATCCCAACTAGACAAGTCAATTAATTCATCATTAAACGTCGATGGTGATAAAATATCGGACTTCTGATTATCCACATCACTTATACTACTATTATTATTGTTAGTAGTGCCAATAGCAATAGAATCTGTAGTTACAGATGGAGATATATGTTGCGATGGAGTGGATGCCTCATTTCGAGCCAAGTAAAGTTGTAACTCGTTGAAATGATCTTCTTCAGATGTGATCGATGGTCGTGGAGAATAAAGACTACCAAAACCAGACGAATTGGGCTGATATCAGAAATGCTGAGTTTTGATGTGGATTGTGAAACCGACTGACTTGTCTGATGATCCCATTCAAATAAACTATCAGCACTAACAGTAGTTTTGTGCAAATTCTTCTCTGCAAATTCCAGTTCTGCAATACGTTGACGTTGTTGATAACGACGCGCATCACGTATAGGACTGGCACAACTGACAACTTCGAATTCAGTGCTACTTAGTTCTTTACTGGAAAAAATAGTATAGGAAATGACTAGTAAATTATCCCACCGGTCCGCAAAGTGAAGTGCTAAATTTAACATCAAAACAACTGTACAAAGAATCTTGATAAACGAATGAATACTTGTAAATGTAAACAAGTTATGGAAAACCTAATGTTTATATTGATGAATAACTGAATAATAACCAATGAAATATCTGTCTAATCTTTTAGTTATGATTTAATACTGTTGATCAAGTTGCAGTCAGACGGCTAGTCTAACTGATCCATCACTAAATGTATTATATTGGTTTGTTAGTTCGAAGAAGGTATTCAACAGCAAACTGTGCTTGATCTGAGTTTTGGACTACCAGTGTAGGTGCACTTGCGATCTTGAGGGAGTAATGTGCAGTGTTATATTCGTACCTTTGTCATTCAACTTCACAGTTCAAAACGTTACTGATGAGTTATTCCAGCTTCCTAAATTTAGCTAGAAAATCTAAAATTCTACATATGTATTGATCCAATTGAGCAATTTTTATAAAATAATTGGAAACCGACATGAACTGATGAGATATAAAACGAAAACAAGAAAGTCCTTATCTCCTGAAGCTGATATCTCACGAAACCATGAAATAACAGAAAACAAATCTTGATCTATGATCTATACATTTACATTAGGATAAATGAGACTATATGGTGATTACGTTTCTATAATATAAAGATTATAATCAGAATAAAGATTAAGCGTTCGCGCGAGTGACCGAAGATCTTCGGTCCAAGTCCCGTGTATGGGATGCAAACTATTGACAAGTCCCATACTAGAACAAAACATCCATCCACTGCCTTTACGTTCTCAATGATAGTCTGGCTAAGATCAATACAGAAGTTCAATTGTTAAAATATTAGGATTGGTAACTTGTTCATTTGTGTTGAAAAACAATAGGTTTCAACATACACAAAGGGAAAAGCAAGATTTGCCGGTACAACACAACTAGCAACAATCAAATCACACTTGACGGAGAAGATTTGGAAGACGTAAAAACCTTTACATATCTGGGCAGCATCATTGATGAACACTGTGGATCTGATGCGGACGTGAAGGCGCGGATTGGCAAAGCAAGAAAAGCATATTTATAAATGGAAAACATCTGAAACTAAAAACAACTGTCTGTCAACCAATACCAAAGTCAGAATTTTCAATACAAACGTCAAAACAGTTCTACTGTGTATGGGGTGGAAACCTGGAAAACTACGTAAGCCATCATCTAGAAGATACAAGTGTTTATTAACAGTTGTCTACACAAAATACTTTGGATCCGTTGACCAGACACTATCAGCAACAACATACTATGGGAGAGAACAAACCAGATTCGAGTGGAGGAAGAAATCAGGAAGAAGTACTGGAAGTGGATAGGACACACATTGAGGAAGGTACCGAACTGCGTCACAAGGGAAGCCCTCACATGGAATCCTCAAGGCTAAATAAAGAAGACGAGGAAGACGGAAGAACACATTTTGCCGAGAAATGTTAGGAGAGATGAGAAGAATGAACAACAGTTAGATAGAACTAGAAAGTAAGGCCTGGGACAGAGTGTGTTGGAGAATGCTGGTTGGCGGCCTATGCTCCATTAGGAGTAACAGGCATAGGTAATTAAGTAAGTAAGTTGAAAAACAAATAAGCTCCCTAAAACGATTATATTCTAATAGGTTTTATCACTAGTTGATGTAAAATATTATCAATTTATAAAAACTGTTATTTTATTGACTGTAAAGTGGTTTTAAACTGATAAGGTCATTTGAATATTGCTATTATATTATTCTTATGATATGAACACTCCAAAAACACAAATACATTTACTTAACAACCGATAATAAAACAGTTTTTATTAAAATAGAATTACATAATTATCAAACTATCTAGGAATGATTGAGACTATGAGTCGACTTATGTTGGTCCACCATTCGAAACGTGAAGGCACTGAAACGTCGTTCCCTCCTATTAAGAAATTCCTCAGCAGCGCTTATACACGGTCCCGCTCTCAGGATTCGAACCCAGGGTCTTCGGTCTCGCGCGCCAACGCTTAACCTCTAATCCAGTGAGCCGGCCCGAATTCAACTGCGTTAATGTCTAATCTCAACCGATCCACAAAATTATACGACCATCTTCCATTTTATTGAGATAAATAACTGTCTCTGTGCGACACGGTTTAGCTCCACTGGTCACAGTTTCTCACTAGAACTCTGAAAATTCCCTCAAATAGCTAGTCACCAGTGAGCACATGATAATTATCAGTATAGGGTCGTGGAGATTACTATGTTTTTGATTGAGATCATGAACCCATTGATGCTAGACAACCATTGCGCACTGTTGAAAAGTCTCACAATAGGACGAAACGGTCATCCAGTGCTTCCAGGTTTTCAATGATTGTCTAACATCAATTTCAATCAAAAACTTAATAATCTCAACAACCTCATACTGATATATATGGCTAATAAAGATTCACTAATAACTTACTCATTTTCATCAATTAATGTAACTGTAATATGTACATCTTTTTTCCATGTACTTGGACATTTAGAATTGAGAAAAGGAAATACTAAATGATAAATATCACAGAAATTATTAAAATCTATATCCATTACTAAATAACCATCATTCATTAGTTTATATGTAACATTATTATCATTTTGTACAGCTTGTATAAAACATAATTGTTCTTGTTTTGATAATATATTTGGAATTTGCATTGGATCATTATAACTACAATAAACAAATTGGAGAAATGGGAGAACAATATGATAAGATGAATAACAAAGATTGAAATAAATAAGTAAACAAAGTTATCTTTGTTACCAAATTCACTTGGTGTTGTTTTATTTGTATCTTCCCATTGTTATTTGGGACTACAATTGATCAGTCTCATGTTGGCATATATGCATCCTGGGAGGGTGGCCTCGATATGGTCTTAAGTCATACGCTTCTTAAGCAAAGATGGATAGTGGCTAGCAGTGAAATCCAGGACGCGTGTTTCGTCCTAATTCGGACTCATCAGCTGGATGTACCTACATCCCGGAGTATAAGCAGTACTCGGAAACATTACGGTTTGAAGATGTTATCGACAACTGCATATCTGTGCTAATGTGGTGTGGCAACTCGAACTGATGTACGTACGTACGAAGTTCTACGTTGTTACTGATTGACTGATTGATGGATCCATTATTATTAATAGAGGGATTATCACTGAACTGTTGAGGTTATTAATTATCTTCACTAAAAATAATTTTGTTTAAAATATTGATTGATCACTTATTTGTCAGTAATGTCATTTTCTTCAAACTTTCAATGTTGATAGAACTCAATCGATCACAAATCAAAGTGTCTCAACTTCTTACACATTATCTTTGTGCTAGGTAGTTTAACATGATCAAACTGTTCGTTAGACATCAATCAACAAAATAATTCATAATAAATCCACTTAGTATTGTTTGCTTATATTTTCTCATTGATGTTTAGGACTACAATTGTTCAGTCTCTTATTGGAATATACGCATCCTATGCGAACTACCTAAATATTGCCTTCAGTCATAAACTTTGTAAGCAAAGATGGCTAACAATGAAATCTATGACTCACGTTTCGTCCTATTAGAGACTCGTTAGTTGAATTGATAACATGATATTGTTTGAATCAAATAGTACTGTGTTTGAATCTTGGAATGAACATCAACTCTCAAATACAGATACATTCAGCTGATCTGTATCAAACAGAATGAAAAATGGATCATAGATTCCACTGCTAATCACCATTCATCTTTGTTTAATAATCTCTTCAAATCATTAAAATTTCGCGTTAAAATCATTGAAAAACTTTTAATTCATGTTTAATATTGAAACCCGACTGTTGTTGCTACTTTGACGTGGTGGTCAGGCTTGCCTATCCTGATGAAGCAACCGAGCTATACTGGTTGGAACCACCGTTCCTCAGGGTTCTATCATGTCAGACAGGTCGGTTGAAGAGCGGTAAGACTAAAAGCAACACGGATTTCCGTCTCCGGTGGTAAGGTCTCAACAAGTACGGAGCTAACAAGAGACTTACTCACAAGACGGTCATGTGTGACTGACCTCACTAAGTTGTTCCTTGGGTACATCGGTCACGCTCACAAGTCACTAAGAACACCCCCCAACTTCATTTCCTTTTCGGGTACCTGAAGAAGAATCTTTCCACGGTGTGGGAAACCGGGAAGCTATAACCACCCTCATTCCTTTCACAGCACTGAGGACTTAATATTGAAATCAATGTAGAATATTTATGATCAAAAATATAAAAACAAAAAGAGTTTTGCCTGTAATTTTGCAATCAATCAATTAATCAATATACGTAAAATAATTTACCCAATAGCCGGTGTACATATTCCACCAAATATTGTGAACGGTTTAAATCTTAATTTAAATTTATGATTTTTCATTAAATCAATATCTTCTTCATTATAATAATTATCATTATCACCATGGTAATTAATTATTGTTGTTGATATATTATTTTTAATGTATAATAATGAAATTGTATTCGTGTATCAATGACACGTCCACGAATAACAAATAATTTTTGTATACCAGTTTTAGTGATGATTGTCTAAATAAGGAAAAAAAATTATATTATGTTCCTTTTTTTAGTTTTGTGTTTTGCTTTAGAACACATAGATTAAAAAAAATTTTTTTTGAAAGAAAAGCAACGACGACAACAACAGCAACAACGACGATGACGACGACAACAACAACAAGAAAGATATTTGAAAGAGATAGAGAGAGAGAGAAAGCGATACATTTTTTAAAACAATAGATGGCAACAATTTGAAAAAAAAGGATCAATGTGATATTTAATAAATTTTAAATTTAAATGAGTGATTTATTGATTTTTATGGTAAAAATTAAAAAAAAATAATTTATGAGTTTAATTAAATAATATATATATATATATATGGAATACATGGAGTCTTGTGAGGCGGGATCGTGGATATCAACTGCTGAGGAGTCCTACAGTAGGACGAAACAGCCATTCAGTGCTTCCAAATTTTTCATAATGGTTCACATTCAATTGACTCATGATTTTAACTATTAAAATTACTACAATATTCATAAGAACTCCTTCTCAGATTAATCAACATATGTTCAGTAGTGACTGGTTTCAAGAGACACTCCTGGAGTTCTCGTGATAAGCAATGACCGGTGGAGTTCAATCGGGTCTGTTTTAAGAAAGTAACCCAATGAAAACATTGATGGATGTGTCTCTCAATTTCGTGGATTGGTTGAAGTTAGACATTAACACTATTGAATGACAGCTCAGTGGCCTAGTGGTTAAGTATTCGAGCGCGAGACCTGAGCTCGAATCTCGCGAGTCGAGGTCGTGAGTGCCAACTGTTGAGGAGTTTCACAATAGGACGAAATGCTCATCTAGTGATTTCAAGTTTTCTATGATGATTTAGCTTTAATTGACTTATGATCTCAATTATTGAAATTAATGTATCAACTGTGTTTTTTCGTTTTTAAAAGTAATATTAATAAATGATAATGATAGTTCTCTCAAAGAAAATAATGAATTGTGTTAACTGTTGGGATCTGTTTATGGACTGATGTTATACATATTATTTTTTTATTGTATAATTGTTATTGTAACTAAACTATCTGCATATTCATGTTCCTCTTATTATAAGCTTCCGTTTGATGTATAGACTATTATGAGACGATTTACCGTTCTTGAGTTATACCCTGTTTATCAATTACTATCTTCCTTATTCACAGACACATTTGGCTAGATCTTGTGCAAATTTTGTTTCCTATTTTATGGTACAATGTGGTCTATTTGGTTTGTATATAAACTCAGTATGTTTGAAATACATGATTTTATATTGTGGAGGCTGAGATTGGTGTTCTGGTCTCAACAGGCAGGGTTAGGCAGGAAGAAGGATCAATAAAGACTTTAGAATGTTCACACGCCTTATTGCTCCAGTCGATAATTCAGTGTTCTTTAATTGTTGGTATCATTACGTTATATATTAATAGGGACACAAGGCCCACAAGTTATAATAGAAAATACGTTTAACTATATCATTTAATAACATTATTAAATCTATCCTTTGAATTAGATCATTTCAATTCAGTTTTTTTTTCTGTTTCTATTACTATATCTTAAGACAAGTTTAACAATGTAGAATCTGAGTACATTTTTATATCCTGTATATTTGATTCACCGAAATAGATTGTAGTCTGTTAACTTGGCTAACAGGAGAAATTGAAATAGCATTACTTGTGATTATTCACTGTAGTTGCTTACAATTGAACTTGAATAACATGATGACCTAGTCAGGGTATATTGGTTGTAATTTTCATTTGTTTAGGTTTGAAATGGATTTATTATTTTGGTAGAACACTATTACTGTTTGCTATTGATTGCTTTGATTATCAAACCAATGTACACTTTGTGTGCTTTTTTTTCTAGCTTACTTTACTCACTCTGATCCGAACACTCCCTTAACAAGTAAAGTACTTTCACGCTAGACATGAACTACTACATATTAGATGGATCTACCATAGACTAAAATTAAAAGGTACTACCATATAAAGTAGTTTGACTGGAGGACAGTAAAGCTAAATAAAGTAAAATTAAGGTCTGAGGTATAAGTCACAGTGCCGGTTGTACTGCGGTGTGATGGAATTAATGTATTAGTCTCAGATAGGCAACACACATAGCTGTAATACTTTATCACAACGGAAGGAAGGGGGCTAGAAGTGGTTGACTCATCTCACCTTACATCGTGGATTTTCGGCCATTTATAATGTGGCCTTACAAGTTCAGAGATAACCTAATGAAAACAATTTATAGAAAGACCGTGTGTAACCTGCTTCCTCATAAATATGTGTAAACAACTTGATTCAAGTCAAAAGTATTGACAATTGAATACTGACTTAGTAATTCTGAAGTATAGTTACTCATGTTATTTTGGTTCGGCATAGTGTATGTAGGAATTAAGAGTTTAAATATAAAGTTTAAATAGATATTCAATAGTTTAGGCGCGGTTGTTTTAACCAACATCAGTTTTAGTTGACTTAATACTTAAAATAATAAATCTACCACTTGAATACCTGACAATCACTAGTAATCATTTCTTAGTTTCACAGAAGGTTTCTATATTTTAGCCTCAAACAGAAGACAAAATGTGGGAAATATGGAAATAATCATTAGTTTCAAGGTTACTCTAGGTACAGGGAATAGAAATATTTTCAGGTTCATTAATGACCTTGATATCTTCATAGCACCTGAAAACGTGTCGAAATTGGTGACAGCTTTGGTAATTACCTAATCATAATGTGACACATAACCAGTCGTTTTGTAGAAATGTGTGAAGCGTTTTTGTTGAACATCCAATAGACCAGATATTTGAGCGTATTATCAACTCCTAATCTCTGTAAGGGTTAGCCCTTGTTGTGTTAAAGACTGTAAATGATCAGTCTCTATCGGTATATGGACATTCCACGCTGAGTTCTTTGATATTTCTATTTAGTCACACGTTTTTATAGAATTCGAATAGTTGTTAGCACGAATTTTGTTCTATTTGGAACCCATCAGTTTGACATACATGCTTATCAAATAAAATCTATTCCGTTTGTTCAAGCTAGTAGCTATTAAGATCATTTAGCTCAATAGTTAACGAATTTTAGTTTAAGGTGAAAATTACTTCATCAACATAGAGATTTAGGAATATATAGCTTTTAAATTACAAGTAAAATGAATAGAATACCCTAGATTCAACGCCAGATACTATTTAAATTTATTGGTTAAAGTCAGATATTAACACTGTTGGATGAAGGAGAAGATTTGTAGCTCAGGTGGATGATTTTGATGGAGTTTTGTTTTCTAAACTGGATGAGCTGAAAAGCTTCACGACCAGACTATCCAGCTCATAGAACAAAACTCCATTAAAAACTGTTGGATGCCAGCTGGATCAGTGGTTTAGAGGTTAAGGGTACATGCACAAGACTGATATGTCCTGGATTCGAATCTCACGAAGCATGATCGTAGATACGCACTGCTAAAAAGTCCCATATTAGGATGAAATAGCTTTCCAGTGCTTCCAAGATTTCCATGGTGGTCTAGCCTCAATTGACTCAGGAATTCAACTGTTAAATTATTTTAAAAAAACCCATTTTTAATATAAAGATTAATCATAAACTATGTTATTGAAATGATTTGCTTACACAACTTACTTTAGCTACTTTACCATATTTTGAAATATCTTGATTGGTATTATCTTGATTAAGTAAAAATTTTAATTCCAACTTTCTAAATTGAAAAAAAAGGAAAAAAAGAAAAACATCCATAGAGAATGAAGAAAAGAAAACCCTGATTAATTGAGCCCAAAAAAAATAATTTACGTTAAGATTTGAATCGACTAACAGGGTTTACATTTCTTTTAGTGAATTCTATATGTATAGAATGTTTTATTGAAGGCGCGGTTTGGCAAAGCAAGAACAGCATATTTATAAATGGAAAACATCTGAAACTAAAAACAACTGTCTGTCAACCAATACCAAAGTCAGAATTTTCAATACAAACGTCAAAACAGTTCTACTGTGTATGGGGTGGAAACCTGGAAAACTACGTAAGCCATCATCTAGAAGATACAAGTGTTTATTAACAGTTGTCTACACAAAATACTTTGGATCCGTTGACCAGACACTATCAGCAACAACATACTATGGGAGAGAACAAACCAGATTCGAGTGGAGGAAGAAATCAGGAAGAAGTACTGGAAGTGGATAGGACACACATTGAGGAAGGTACCGAACTGCGTCACAAGGGAAGCCCTCACATGGAATCCTCAAGGCTAAATAAAGAAGACGAGGAAGACGGAAGAACACATTTTGCCGAGAAATGTTAGGAGAGATGAGAAGAATGAACAACAGTTAGATAGAACTAGAAAGTAAGGCCTGGGACAGAGTGTGTTGGAGAATGCTGGTTGGCGGTCTATGCTGCACAGGTTTAAGTAAGTAAGTTACTATAAATAGAGTAAGTTGAATCGAAGATTCGTAGATTTAGGCTTTATAGGCAATTTAAATAGAAAGAATCAAAAATCTAAAACGTTTACTATTTTTCTTTACCACTCCATAATGGTGAAATGAAAATCCTCTCCGTAATTTAAAGCATTTGAATAACTATCCAGTGGTATTTTACAGCTTTTCATTTTGCTGAGTATACGATGAACGTCACTAATTTTTTGAAAATTTTTTCTGAAAAACCGTAAAGTCAATTTTTCTATTGTGATAGGCTCTCTGAAGACAACGATGAACGGTGGCTCATTTTCGTCGATTGATTGAGTTTAAACATTAACGCAGTTGGATCCCGGCTTGCTCAGTGGTCTAGAGGGTAAGCGTTCGTGCACAAAACCGAAGGCCTTGAGTTCGAATCCCACTAGCAGGATCGTGGATGTACACTGCTGAGCAGTCCAGCACTTCCAAGTTTTCAATGGCGGTCTAGCTTTAATTAACTCATGGACTCAACTATTAAATTACTAATAATAACTACAAAAATCCCCTTCTGATAACAATTTTATATTGTAGTTATAGTATAGAACGTTTCGATGGCACCGCTTCGTGAAAGAAAGATCGAAAAATAGTAGGAATGGATTGCCATAATTAGAACGCGTTTATTGTTTACATCAAAACCATCGATCATAATAAAGGTAATTGAAGTTGTTCAACATTCGAATGTGCTTATGTTTTTAATAATTGGTCAAATATACAAGACTGTTAATAGTTGATTGATAATGACATTAATAAATTGGTTACACACAGAATGATCTAATGATTATGCAATGATGAGTTCAACTTATATATAGTTTTTCACAGGTTGAAATCATGAGTCAGTTGAAGCTAGACCACCATTGAAAACCTGGAAGCACTGGACGGCCGTTCCGTCTTAGTATGGGACTTCTCAGCAGTGAGCATCCACGATCCGGCACCACGTGGGGCTCGAACCCAGGACCTACTGGCCTCGCGCCCGAGCACTTAACCATCAGACCACTGAGATGGCATCCAACGGTGTTAATGTCTAACTTCAACTAATCCACGAAATTGAGCGACGCATATACCATTGTCTTTAATGAGTTACTATATCACAACAGACCCGGTTGAACTCCACTGGCCATTGCTTCTCACTAGAAGTCCATGAAATACGTCTTGAAGCGAGTCACTAGTGAGCAGATGATTATTATCAGAAGGGGTTTGTGGAGATTTTTAGAAATTTTCACAGGTTGAAATCATGAGTCAGTTGAAGCTAGACCACCATTGAAAACCTGGAAGCACTGGACGGCCGTTTCGTCCTAGCATGGGAAAATTTCTAAAAATTTCCACAAACCCCTTCTGATTATATATAGTTTGTTCAAAATTTAATTATATAATCAGTGTTTAATCAATCTATTAGAGACTCAATATATTGTGATATTCAGTAGTTGGATATAATAAATAGGTAGGCCCAAACCTATAATTCCTATTACTTTACACTCGTTAACAACTTCAGTTATATAATATACCCGTGTGGGCCAGGGTAATTTTACACTGATTTTCAGGAGAACCAGATACCATCCGGACTTTCACGTGACAACCTAAACAGTACATCTCAACCCCGTTTAACAGGAGAGGTAGACACCATCCAGGCTTAAATTTTATAAACCGAGCAGTACAGTTCAATCCCGCTTCACATGAGAACCAGACACCGTATAGGCTACAATCTGAATAGTACAGCTCAACCACGTGGCGCAACCATACAGGTACCAAGCACACTGGTGGACCACGTTAACAACTTAGATCTGAAGTTTTACTTGGAACTGATCTTTCATGTGAGATTTTAAATCAGAGTCACATAGTGTAATATGGTTAATGTTGTAATAGTCAAGTTATTCAGTTTATTACTATTCATTCTAAAACGAAACAAAAAAGTATCCATTGTTCTCTAGATTTAAAAACCACTTGAAACTAATCTCTTACACCTTTATACTTATATTGTATCGATCAGTTTAATCCGTATTCAATGTGTTAAAGTTTGATATTGGCAATGTTACTAACATCATGGTGAACAGTAACACGTTTTAGGGTCATTTATACGCTTGACCTTGAATAACTTCCAGTTTTAATCAGTTAACATATTTCTTTTTTAATCAATGATAACCATTTTTACATTCTTATCTCTCAATTAATGTGATAATGATAATTGATAAGTGATAATGGTCATGCTTATAATGTTTGTGAATTAAGGCTATACAGAGTATGTATGTATGCTAATAAGAGACTGATCAATTGTAGGCCTTAACATCAATGGGAATATTCAAGTAAACAATACCAAGTGAATTTAAACTTCACCCTATTGCACAAGCAAGTGACCATCAGGACTCAGTCCTTACTCCTGTTGATTCTCGTGAAGGAGCATAGGCCGCTCATCACCATTCTCAATCCAACACTGTCATGGGCAGTGCTTTCCAGTTCTTTCCACTTGTTATTTATCCTTTTCATATCTGATTCTATTTCCCAACATAAAGTGTTATTTGGCCTTTCACTTTTCCGCTTCCCTTCAGGATTCCAAGTTAGTGCTTGCCTCATGATGCAGTTTGATGTTTTGTGTAATGCATATCCTATCCATTTTCATCGTCTTTTACTAAGTTCCTCTTCATCTGGAAGATCAGGACTCAGTAGCTAAGTGAATAACGTGATGTCGTTTGAAGCGAATGGTACTGGGTTCGATTCCCAGAGTAAATATCAACTCTGAGATTCAGGTAGTTCCGACTGACAAGTCCCAAATAGGACGAAATGTGCGTCCTGGGTTCCACTGCTAGTCACTATCCACCTCTGCTTAAAAAGTTTGTAGATTAAGACATTATCGAGGCAATCCACACAGTATGTACGTATGTATGTAAGTGACTGATCATTATCAGTCCTAAACATCCATCGGAGGATTCAAGGAAACAATACCAAGTGAATTTAATGATAATTGTAGTTATCAATGATAGACTATAATTCAGATAGACAAATGAATTGTAGAAATTTCATTTCATTTTCAGAAAAATTTGAGTGAAGTGACGTTTTCTAAGTTGAATAGTTTAATTATAAACTTGCACAATCTATGTCATCTAGAAAGACAGTGACATTTTTACGAATGAACTATTCAGATTAAAGTACACAACATCAGTAAAATCATCTTCCTGACGTATACATCATTTTGACCATCTCGAGTATCACACAGATTTACATTTATCAAAGTACTATTAAAAACTGAACAAGGTATTTAACAGTTGGTTCAATTTACTTCAGTATTTCTCATTATTGAGTACAAATAGTGTTATATAATGTAGGTTAAATAAAAAAACTTCATGTACGATCTTATCAAACAAACCAACGGATAATATATTTACTAAATATAGATATATTTGATTCAGTAACCTGAATATTTAAACAGTTGAGATCATGAGTCAATTGAAACTAGAGCATCACGGGAAATATGGAAGCATTGGATGGAGGTATCGTCCTAATATGGGATTCATCAATAGTATGCATCCACGATCCCGTCACACGAGATTCGAACTCAGGACATATCAGTCTCGCGCACGAGCGACTAACCACTAAGTCGGTCGGTATCCAACAGTGTTAATGCTTAAATTCAACTAATCCACGAAATTGAGTGATACATATACCATTGTCTTCAATGAGTTACTATCTCACAACAGACCCGGTTGAACTTCAGTGGTCATTGCTTCTCACCAGAAGTCCATGAAATACCTCTTGAAGCCAGTCACTAGTGAGAATATGTTGATCAATATCAGAAGGGTTTTTGTAGATATCATATTAATTTCAATGGTTGAGATCATAAGTCAATCGACTCTAGACCAACATGGAAAACCTGGAAGCACTGGAGTTCTAGTGAGAAGCAGTGACCAGTGAAGTTCAACCGGGTCAGTTTTGAGGCAGTAACTCACTGATGACAATGGTGGATGTAACGCTCAATTTCGTGGATCAGTTGAAGTTAGACATTAACACGGTTGGATGCCAGCTCAGTGGTCTAGTGGTTAATCGCTCGTGCGCGAGACTGATATGTCCTGAGTTCGAATCTCGTGCGGCGGGATCGTGGATGCGCACTTCGGAGGAGTCCTAAAATGGGACGAAACGGCCATCTAGTGCTTCCAGGTTTTCCGTAGTGGTCTAGCTTCAATTGACTCATTATCTCAACTTTTAAATTGCTACAATCTCCACAAAACCCCTTCTGATACTAACCTGAATATTATTAATTATTAGTAGCCACTTAAATATTGATAACTTCTCACATAGTAGCTCGCTTCATATTCATCTGATAGAATCTGTCTAATTAATGTATACATTCTATCAACTTCATATGATTAATTCAGTGGAATTATAGTCATATTTTAATTTTCATCTTCCTTAATCAAACAAGCCAACCTCCAGCTGAGGTGGAAGTCATGAAATGACGTTGGAAATGAATAGGATATAGATTACGCAAATCATCAAACTGCATCCTGACGCAAGCACTAACTCGGAATCCTGAAAGGAAGCGGAAAAGTGGAAGGCCAAAGAACACATTACGTTGGGAAATAGAATCAGATATGAAAAGGATGAATAACAAGTGGAAAGAACAGGAAAGGATTGCCCAGGACAGTGTTGGATGGAGAGTGGTGGTGAATGACCTGTGCTTTTTCACGAGGAGTAACAGGCGTAAGTAAGCAAGTAAGTATCCATTCATTACAACATAGATTGTCGTTTACTGCAAATAAAGGTTAATACATAGTGATAATTTTCTCATCAAACCCTTACTACTAACTTCCTATCCGTTTTATATATCATTAGATTACTCCTACACTTAAACCATACAATAAAGAAATGATATGAATTAAGGATAGAAGCTTTACCTAAAGGTTTGTTTATGTAAATAATCATTCAATCAGAGTTTAATACATAATCTGTTAATTTTCTAGAAAGTTTCGTAGGAAATTCTATTCGAATGATGTGGTTACAGCTTTCTTCTGACTTTTGAATAACTTATTGAAGAATTCCTCTGAAATTTAACACATATTGAACTACGAATTGATGTAATCATACTGTGGTGCGTGCTACTTTTATCGATGTAAGTAGTATATGACGCGAGTTAAAAACGCAATGTCTCGCAGCAGAAGATGGGAGAAAGTCAAGAAAGGAAGAGTGACAACACAATGCAATTTGTAAGAAAACAGATGAACAATGAAATGTGAGACAATCGATTGATGTTTGCAACAGGAACAGTCCAGGTTGATATGATGGAATGATATTTTGCAAATTAACGATTTACTATATGATTTTTCTATTTTATGAAGTAACTCTGTCCTCGGAGGTGTTTTCCTTCGCTACAATAATATCATAGTCAGAAAAACATCAACAGTTCTCCACATGATGTAAAACAATAGATATCATTATGTTATCACTGATCTACATGTATGGATTCACAGAACTTAACAATGAAGTTAAACGAAAGATATATTCATAATTTACAATTTGAAACTAAACTGAAAGCCCCCGCCCCCTACCTACTTTTTATAATTTACAGTTATAAGTCACATCGTATTGGGAAAATTAAATCAAATTCGCAACCATAAAGAAACTTTCAATAAAGATCTGACTTATAAGATGATGGAGAAGATTTGTTGCCCAGCTGATCAACATCAAAGTCTACAAAACAAGCTATGAACCATATATAGAGAAGTTCGAACACTTCAATTCTACCTGAAGTTTGTACTAATGATATCGTTCAGAAGAACAATCAAAATCTCACAACTAAACCATCCAGCTTACAGAACAAAACTTTATCAAGATCTGAATAGATCACTATAACTCAAACACACAAAGATGAGGATAAAGAAATCAAGACAGAGTGAGTGAGTGAGTGACTGAGTGACTGAGACACAATTTGTAATAAACTGAAATTAAACTTAATCTACCATTTATTACCCCCTCCCTCACCCCCCCCTATAAAAAATCAATATTTTTAATGATCTATTTATTCACAATAGAATAATCAATACGCATAATCTAGATATTTTGGTTAACATTTGATTGATCATTAAAATGTAATTTGGATCAATAAAATTATTACTAAAAATAGTAATAACAATAATAATACTTATTATTATTGATTGTTATTGATTATTATTATTGATTATTATAACAATATTGATAATAAGTATATGAATCATTTTATATGTAAACAACTTTGAATTATTTACGCTTACCGATTATGTATATATGAATAAAGTCAATTATCCATAAAGTCAATTACCCATAATTAATCTATGCACATACAATAAACACTTAAATATATACAACTTTTAATGACTTAATGATGATATATTATGAAAATAGATATATAATATACCCTTGTGGGTCAGGGTAATTGTATATTTGGTTTCCAGGAGAACCAAATACTATCCAGGCCTAGATTTTATAACCCGAGCAGTATAGCTCAATCCCATTTCATAGAAGAACCAGACATCATATTAGGTAGGCTTTAACGTTATCATCTGAATAATACAGCTCAATCCTGTGGCACAACCACACATATATCAAGCACCCTAGTGAACCATTCGCATATGCATTCATATACACATTCATGTTACGTGTATAGTTATTCGGATCAATGATCGAGTGAATCAATTATATACAGCATGAACAGACCAAAGTTGAGTTATTCCGTTTGCCGAACCATCGAAAATATCTATAATAACTCACGTGCAATTGAGTTTGTTCACATTTAATTCGGTTAAACCCTTTTGTTAACTTATTTAACAGATGATAGAGTCATTCGTACAATAGCAACTTATCTATACCATTGTGTCTTTATTACTGCTGCGAATGTATGAACATGTATGCTTGAGCATTTGCTTACTGCCTAAGCATTTACTCACGCTGCTAGCCTTACTACTAACCGCTTAATTGATTCGATGATTCATTCATTTCACTATGTACATATATGTCAATGTTATTCATCTTCGCTGCTCTATATCGCCCAATTGTACCCGCCTACTCGTACTCGTATTCGCTGACTCACTTGCTCGCTCGCTCGCTTGCTTGCCTCCTTGCCTTTCGGCACAACTCTTCCATGCTTGTTTAACGTACCTGTAATTTTGGATATCTGTTTGTGGTCCCATAATAAACGTAATCGACACTTCGTATTCGCCTTCTGATTAATATACCGTTGGGGTATTATCTATTGACGGTTATCAAGATGAACTGTACACGAAGTTTAAGGATTATATGCAATACCGAGCACTACATATCAGTGGTGAACCTCCAATGTCATATAAGACTATCAGTTCTACAATAGCAATATTATAAAAATGTTACATACCCTTTTGATAACCTTGAATTGATTTGTTTACTTTCTTGTATTTTGTTTACATTATTATTATTATTATTATTATTATTATTGATTTGAACATTCATTTGAAGTGTAGAACATTCAGAATGAATATTTTCATATGGACAATTTGTTCTACAATTATTTATTTGACAATTATGTTGTAACACTGAATTCTCTATAGAACTAGGTAATTCTTCATATCTTTTTAATAATGAATTCATTCGATGTATATCATTGAAATGATTAGATGAAATAGATTGATTTAAATCTATTCTATTATGATTGTTATTTAATATGGATGATAAAAATGAAGAGGATTTTGAATAGTGTGATACAGTTGAAATAGTATTATCATTATTTTTATGAATAGAAGATAAATCATTTTCCCCATGATAAATATCGAATAATAATTCTTTAATATCATGAATTGTTTGTCGTTTACTTAAATTAGAATTTGGTTTTGTATGAGATGAAGAAATTGAATTGATTGGTGTCTAAAATTAAATTATAAATGAATAAATAATATTTGGTCATATGTGACCAGTTTAAATGATTGATTGAAGTAGTATGTAAATAAGAAATAGGGAGAGATATGTTTTTTGATGATTATTGAAAAGCGCTGTTAATGTAGGTGAATAAAACTCTCTAATATACACTATTAACATATACAGCTTTGGATTCAAGCCATTAAACCATGTAGTTAGGATACATAGATCATTGTAGAGAACATTGCAACTTGATCAATAGCATTCGATCTACACTGAGAAGGCCTTGGCATACATGACATTAGACACCACCCAATGATTAATCAATTGTGAATACATTTCAGTCATACAGGAGGTTGATCGTACCCCGAATAGCCCAGTGGTAACGTCTCTGACTGTGAAGCTAGGTAACATGGGATCAGATCCGTCAGGTAGCAGCCGTTCCCTCAATATTACAGGTACACCTTACTGACGAATGCCGAGTAGCACGAAACCAGGGTCATGGGTTTCCTGTTGACTACCTCTAAATGCCTTCTAACAGTATGATATTCTCCAAAATATTTAGTTTATTATGTCGAAGAAATAGCTCATCTTATTATATTCATCACGGCACTATTGAATTCTATTAGATAAGTTTCTTATAACTATCATTCGTATGCTAACAAACTACAACAAAACATTTCAACGCACATAACCTAATGAAGGCATTCTATCGGCCTAATTAACAGGCATTACATAACTCATACAGTACAATAACTTGATATAAGATGGTGGTTGAATGTAGTCAATAGCAAACCCTGGACCCGGGTTTCGTGCTACTTGACACTTGTCAGCAAGATGTACCTGTACCTATTAAACTGTTTGTTTGTTTTTTCATCTAAAATGTTTAGATCTATTCATACAAAGGAGTTGAAGATAGATTTTCTTGGCTAATGATAATTTATTATATGACCTGTCCTCATTTTTACTATCTTCTGGAATAAAGGATTCAAGAGGACACTCCAACAAAGTTTATAAGCTCACAACCAATCACCTGTTTATCGAATACTTATTTTCCAATAAAATCAGCAACTAGTGGAACTCTTTATATATAGTTTAGGCTCCATCTATCAATACATTTAACAACAAAAACAAACGTCAAATCAACTGAAAGACCATCATACCCAGGAATACCACAGATTATCCAGCTTCCTATTCTTCTCAAACTAAAACTGAAATTGACATTATTTATTGAATGTTCTCAATCAAAATCATGCTTTGATTGATTTTTGTCAACAATAAATTAGTTGAAAGATGCAAGTACTCAATAGTATAAAAAGAAAGTATTTTAATATAAATTGTAACTAACTAATTATAGTAATTTAATAGTTGAATTCATTAGTCAAATAAAGCTCGACCACCATGCTAAACCTGGAAGCACTGGATGGCCGTTTTGTCCTACTGTAGTTCTCCTCATCAGTGCGAAACCACGATCCCACTTCGCGATATTCGAAATCAGGATCTGTCGATCTCGCTCGCGAACGCTTAATCTCAAGACAACCGAGTCGACCGGCATTTAACGGTGTTAGTGTGTAACATTGAACAATCCACGGAAGTGAACCACCGTCTACAATTGTTATCAGTGAGTTACCATGTCACAACAGACCCGGTTGAACTCCACTGGTCACGGCTTCTCACTAGAACTCCAGGAGTGTCTCTTTAAGTCAGTCACTAGTGAGCAAATGATTATTATCAGAAAAGGTTTTGTGGAGATTTTAGTAATTTCAATAGTTCAAATCATGAGTCAATTGAAGCTAGATCACTTGGAAGCACTGGACAGTCATTTCGTCCTATTGTATCACTCCTCAGCAATGCGCATCCACGATCCCACCTCCCGCGAGATTCGAATCCGAGACCTATCAGTGGTTAACCTTTTTGTCATTTGAAATGATATTCATTAAGATAAAAGATGAAAAATACATATCAGATTACATCATTAGTCAATATTTTAATCTAATAATCAACTTACTTGTAATTCAGGTGAAAAATACTGATCATTACCAATTTTTTTCATTATTGACATTGTTACATCATTAATATTTGTATCGATTGTTGAATTCATACAACTATTTCCATGTAAATGTTGATTCTGTTGATAATTAGATAGATGAGAATTGAAATAATGAATATCATTGTATTGTTGTTGTTGTTGATGCTGATGATGTATAGTATGATTTGACTGGTATTGTTGTTGTTGTTGTTCGGGGTGGTGCTGTTGTCGAGATTGTTTATTTATCTCTTGACATTGTTCTCCCCCTTCTAACAAATTATTATTATTCTGATGATGATGATGATGATGATTATGATTATGTAATTCACTTGGAGACAAATCATAATCTAAAAAGTTAGAAATGCATGGTGTTTGTAATTCGAATTCTGTTTGTAAATGATTTTGTGCCATAAATGAATTTGTTTTATTCATAATTTCTAAATAATTTGTGCGTATAATTTGATAAATAGATAGATCAATAAAAATAACCAAGAAAGTAAGTACTTGCAAAATGAATAGTTTCTCTTCTTTTTTTTGTTTTCCCGCCCTCACACCCGGTAAATGCAAAGGTATATTTATATGTTGTTACGTATCTTCTATATGAATAAATTCTGTTTCAATGTAGTAGTAGTAGTAGTAGTTATAATAATAATAATGATAATATTCTAATAGAAAGACACTAAGAAAATGCAGTTGGCTTTTATACATAAAAAGAATTAATTGAATCACAATTGGGAATTACTTCTTGAACTAAAGACATTCATCTAAAGTACAAATAGAAGAAAAAAAACAACAACAAAGTAAATAGGTAAGTGATAAAACTACTTTCTTTCAGACTAATAACAACAGCAATGTGATTTATTTTATGAGATAATCCATCTTTTCTTTCAGATTTCATTACAGATTGATATGAGATATGTGATTACTCTATTTACTTACTTACGCTTGTTATTCTCAGTGGAGCATAAGCCGCTGACCGGCATTCTCCAACCCATTCTGTCCTCGGCCTAACTTTCTAGCTCTATTCAATCGTCATTCATTCTTCTCATGTCTGTCTCCATTTCTCGGTGTAATTTGTTCTTTGGTCTTCGTCTCCTCCTTTGGCCTTAAGGATTCCATGTGAGGGCTTGTCTTGTGACGCAGTTTGCTGCTTTCTTCAATGTGTGTCCTATCCACTTCCAGTACTTCTTTCTGATTTCTTCTTCCACTGGAATCTGGTTTGTTCTCTCCCATAGTATGTTGTTGCTAATAGTGTCTGGTCAATGTATCCAAAGTATTTTGCGTAGACAACTAACTCATTAAAAAACGCCAATGTGATTACTAGTGTTTACGGAACAGTACTTAATAGATTATTGTTTTAGTATGGTTTATTACTACTCAGTGATATCCACACCATGATTTGACACGGAATTGAACAATAAAGTGTATATTCAAACAGTCAGTATACTGATGTAGATAAAAAAATATTTACAATTGATTGATCACTGGGTGGCGTTCAATGTCTTATGTATCAGATCCTTCTTAGTGTAAATCGAATGCTATCGACCAAGTTGCAATATGGCCATTAGTCTAAGTGATTCGACATTGCGTGTACTATGTTGAGATAAGATGGTGTTTGGAGGTAATCAACAGGAAACCCTGTTGATTATTAGAATTATACCATAAGGATATATAGATAATACTAGTCCATTAATAGATCTCAGACGTTACTCGTAATTTAATCTTCGCTAGGATATAACAATATCAAATTATCAATGTCTCAAAAATACAATCCCAACATTTAAATACAGAGTCATATACACAAATGTAGATTACACATTCTATGTGTAAGATTTTAACTAACCAAATCTTTTAACGAATGATGTTCAGCATGGAATTTTTTTCTATAGTAAGACAATACAAATAAACTCCGCCTGGATTCCCTCCTGGGGCTACTGCCGGTCCCAAACCCGGATAAAGGAGGAAGTTTAGGCATGCGGTTAGCGACCCCATCCCGTAGAAAACTAACTCGCTAAAAAAACGCTAACCAGAAAAAATTGTTCACACCTTTTAAACTCTGCCCTGGAAGTCAGAAGGTCCTCATTCAGAAGAGTTATGACGCCTCATGATGAATGCCGAGTTCCTTCGGAGGTCATGAGGCTGATGTCCCTTCTGACAACCAGAGCAACCATTTATTTAGGTACATGGAAAGCCTAGGACAGAGTGGGATGGAGAATGCTGGTCGGCGGCCTATGCTTCATTAGACGTAAGTACAATACAAATAAGTTGTAATCAGATTTATAAGTGATCATTATGATCCTTATTTCAGTCAATAATAATTATCGACTATTAATGCATTATGTAACATAATGAAATATTATTATTTCATAAACATGTTTTTAAAAATTAGTTTCCATGTAAACGTTCTTATTTATCAAAACTAGACAATAATTAACTAATCTATATAATTTAATAGTTGAACTCATGAATTAATTAAAACTAGACGATCATGGAAAATCTGGAAGCACTAGATAGTCATTTCATTTTAGTATGAGACTGTTCAACAGTGCATATACATGATCCCTCTCTCGAGATCGTGACCTAGGACCTCTAGGCCACTATATCCACAAAATTCTTTTCTGATAATAATCTATATAAATTATTTTTTACTCAAATCATGAATTAATCTAAATTTGTCAAATATTGAACACCTAGAGCGACTAACCGACTCAGCTAATCAACAGTGAACATTCAACATGTTGCATTCCGGATTTCAATGAAATTCGACTATCTACATAAATCTCATACTTACAAACCATTATTTGCAGATTTATCTTCTAGAGTTCAAGACAGGTTTATGTAAGTGAAACCACAATGTCCGTACGATATTAGCGTTTTTTTAAGCGAGTTAGTTTTCTACGGGATGGAGTTGCTAACCCTATACTCAATCTTCCTTCTTTATCTGGACTTGGGATCGGTAGTAGCCCTAGAGGGGCACAAGGCGGATTCTTTTTCTAGTTAGCACGATATTATCATACTTTTATTCAAAAGTAAAAATTAAATAGGTAACGATAAACTTATTTGTATTGATCAATTCAACTTGTCTATTATCAAATCAGAACAAATAGTATTATCTTCATCACTATTATTCTTTATCTCTCAATTATTCATTGTAAACTAACTCATTTAATATAATCTCAAATGGTTGTAATCAAGTTAATGATTGTCAATAAATATACTTAATCATTATTGATTTGATAAGAGATATATACCTGAAAAATCTCATGAAGAGCCAATACGTTGTTGTCAATGTAATAAGAGAGAACTATCAAATAAGTTGAATGGTTTTAAAAAGATTACCTATCACTTTGATTGGTATCATTTTGGGAACGACTCAGTTACATATAGACACGAATAATATGACTAACGCATTTCAAAATTCAACGTGAATACGGTAACATTCAACCATTAAGATGAAATTCCATAGTTCCCGACTACAATGTAGATAGATACTAATTGAATCTATGTGCAACTAACTCATTTACAATATGATTGACTTTATATTTTCTATTTGAGGAAGTTCGAGACAGCTGGTTACTGATGAGTACACATGATTATTACTCATGCAAATTTATGAAAATTGGAAGTGTTCAGACCGTTTGATTTCCACTTAGTGGTCTAAATATATCGATGTTCCATGAATCAAGGTCAAAGGAAAAGAGGAAGATTAAAGAACACATTACGCTGAGAAATGGAGACAGATATGAGAAAAATGAACAGAAATTGGATAGAACTGGAAAGGAAGGCCCAGGATAGAGTGGGTTGTAAAATGCTGGTCAGCGGTCTATGCTCTATTGGGAGTAACAGGCATAAGTAATTAAGTCCACAAATCCAAGTCTCTGGATCGCAGCCTAACATTGACCTATGAACACGTATTACTTAATAACTTCAAGCTGGATTAAAAGAGTCAAGTGGTACTTCATGGTTTCTAAATAATTCTCTAATTGATTTCAAGCAATCACTCAGACTATCTTTAAAATACATTTGCGTTGTATTTTCACTATATCCATTCAAACCTTCTAAACTCTGCCCTGGGAGTCAGAAGGTCTTCATTTAGAAGAACTATGACGCCTCATGATGAAAGCCGAATTCCTTCGGAAGTTACGAGGCCGATGCCCCTTCTGACAACCAGAGCAACCATTTATTTAGGTACATGGAATGTTCGTACAATGTGGGACACCGGAGAGCCTTCCAAATTGCTGCAGAAATGAGAAGATACAACCTAGAGGTACTTGGGATCAGTGAAACACATTGGACACAAGTTGGACAACAACGACTAACTACAGGAGAGCTCCTGTTATACTCCGGCCATGAAGAAGAAAATGCACCACATACACAAGGAGTTGCATTGATGCTGTCCAAACAAGCGCAAAATGCATTATAGGATGGGAATCTCATGGACCAAGGATCATCAAAGCCTCGTTCAAAACAAAGAAAGAGGGCATTTCAATGAACATCATCCAATGCTATGCGCCTACCAACGACTACAATGAAGACGCTAAAGATCAATTCTACAATAGGCTGCAGTCAATCGTCGAGAAGTGCCCAACAAAGGACCTGACCATTCTGATGGGAGATTTCAACGCCAAGGTTGGAACGGACAACACTGGATATGAAGACATCATGGGACGACACGGACTGGGAGAAAGGAACGAAAATGGTGAGAGATTTGCAAACCTATGTGCCTTCAATAAACTGGTCATAGGCGGCACCATATTCCCACATAAACGCATACACAAAACCACATGGACTTCACCGGATCAAACCACACAAAACCAAATCGACCATATTTGCATCAACAAAACGTTCAGGAGGACTATGGAAGACGTGAGAACCAAGAGAGGAGCTGATATAGCATCAGATCATCACTTGCTGGTCGCCAAGATGAAATTGAAACTCAAGAAGCACTGGACAACGGGGCGGACAATATCACAAAAGTTCAATACGGCCTTTCTTCAGGATACTAACAAACTCAACAAATTCAAGATAGTCCTCAGCAACAAGTTCCAGGCCTTTCATGATCTACTCAATGGAGAAGGAACTACTGTGGAGAGCAACTGGAAGGGGATCAAAGAGGCAATCACTTCAACATGTCATGAGGTCCTGGGTCACAAGAAGCACCATCACAAGGAATGGATCACTGTTGATACACTGGATAAGATTCAAGAAAGAAGGAACAAGAAGGCAGCAATCAATACCAGTCGAACAAGAGCAGAAAAAGCCAAGGCACAAGCTGAATACACAGAAGTAAACAAACAAGTGAAGAGGAGCATCAGAACCGACAAACGTAAATATGTGGAAGATTTAGCAACGACGGCGGAAAAGGCTGCAAGAGAAGGAAACATGAGACAATTGTATGACACGACAAAGAAACTCTCTGGAAATCGCCGCAAACCAGAACGACCAGTGAAAAGCAAGGAAGGCGAGGTAATCACCAACATTGAAGAGCAACAAAACAGGTGGGTAGAACACTTCAAAGAACTCTTGAATCGACCAGCTCCACTGAACCCACCCAACATCGAAGCAGCACCCACGGACCTCCCAATCAATGTTGGCCCACCAACAATTGAAGAAATCAGCATGGCCATCAGACAAATCAAGAGTGGCAAAGCAGCAGGACCGGACAACATTCCAGCAGAGGCACTAAAAGCAGACGTAGCGGCAACTGCAAGGATACTCCACATTCTCTTCAATAAGATTTGGGATGAGGAACAAGTACCAAAAG